GGAGGCGAAACTCCATCCACCCCACGACCCTTTTTTTTTTTTTTTTTTTTTTTATCATTTTACATGGAATTTATTACCAATGGCTATTCTTCTTCTCCCCAGTCCCCACCTCACCTCCCCCTCCCCCCCGGGCTCTGCTCTAGAGAACTGAAAGATTCGTTTGATCTGATGGAAGACTGACATCAACGTAAGCCATCTGTCACACAAGATTTCTCTCAGTCATTGGTATTGAAAAGCATGTATTTGTTAAAAACAAATGTTACATGGAATTTATTACCAATGGCTATTCTTCTTCTCCCCAGTCCCCACCTCACCTCCCCCTCCCCCCCGGGCTCTGCTCTAGAGAACTGAAAGATTCGTTTGATCTGATGGAAGACTGACATCAACGTAAGCCATCTGTCACACAAGATTTCTCTCAGTCATTGGTATTGAAAAGCATGTATTTGTTAAAAACAAATGTAGGAATCAAAGTGGTAAGGACACTTTGACCTTTCAAATAGATTGATGCCTAAAGTGTAATAGTAAAACTAATCTGCATGGTTATTTTAAGAATCAAGCTTGAGCTCTAGAAGTAAAATGCAGATTTTTTTTTTTTCTCCTCTCTTCCCCAGCTTAAAAAATATGTGAAATTCTATTGCACCTGGGTTGACCAAAAGCCGACGTCCAGAACAAGTGCCACTATAACATCTAGTGACACCCTCGTATTATTAAGTTACAATATCTTACATAGCACGGAGCTCTCTGCTCCTTGTTCACCAAAAGGTGAGGATGATTTTTCTACATTCAATGTAGACACTATTCAAGACTTTAGAGCAATATGTTCACTGGCTGGCTTTGCTGCTTTTGTTTCTTTAGTAGTAGTATTCTTCTTGCCCGCTTTCAACAGGTACAAACAGTTCTCCATCCAGCTCCTGGGTACCATCAGCCGCTCTGAATGTACTTCTTGATTACTACGCAGCCGTGTCGAAAAACAGGGCAGGGCATATTTGGTAGAAGTGTCCACGTATTTGTTTTAGGGTCGTAGGCTTCCATGTTTCCCAGGGCAGGTCCTTCGCTGCTAACGATCCCACCAGTGGCATAAATTTTTCCATCCAGAACCACAGCACTGCATTAAAAAAAAAAGTTTTAGTTAGTCTTCTTACCCAATAATTTTATTTTTAGGCTTACAACAAACCCAGTATTTTGTAACAAGGTGTAAACTATGGATACACCTTGCATTATCTCTATAAAGCTGCGTGGGTATTTCTCTTCCCTCTTCCTTTCTCTCTCCCCAAATTAATCCTTTTTGTGCTCCTGCCAGGTAGGTAAATGTTGTCTCTACTTTAAACAGCAAAATTTGTCCAAGTGAGACGTTTCTCCAGCCCACGTATGGCATCTGCAGCAAATGTGGCAGGACAACGTGTCCCGTAACACCATGCGCACGCAAATCAGTCCAAGCAATTTGAAGTCCCTGCCTCCTCGGGCAGTGTCAAACATAACCCCGTGCTTCAAGTTACTCCTCTAATTATCAGTGAATGCTGCAAAGCGGGAGATAAAAACCCTCCAATAAATGCTCTGTTGCCTCAGCCCCTTCCATGGTTGCAGAGCCTGGAGGTCCTGTTGACTTGTTCTCCTTGTGCACCCGGGAGCGGTGGTGTCCAAAGCCAACCCAGGGCACCCCAATCTGCTGGTTGGGGGACGTGCAGCTGAGGGATTGGCAGGGGAGCTGTATGCTGGCCTCAAAAGAAAACAAAAAAACCTTACTCTTTTTAAAAATGAAAATGTTCTACGCCAGACACCTCTTGCAAGTGTTTGACTTGCCAACATCTCTGGGGCTGGGCTAATCCAGTGGTCTGTAGGTCCTTGACAGGAGGGAGGGTGCATAGGTGTGAAAGGTATTAGAAAGATAAATTGCCCTTCAGCCTCATCTCTTCCTCCTCTCTCCTTCCTCTTAAGCCCTTGGCCTCTCCAGCAGTCGCGTGCAGGGCGTGACACTCACTTTGGGCTAATGAAGATGGACAACGAGGGGCTGGGCTCCATGTGTGTCTTTGGAAAGGGCAGAAGGATGACAGAGGCAGCTGGGCGGGAAAAGCCTATGCAGGGCTGCCATCTTCTCCGTGCTGCCATCCTGCTGTGTGTGGGGAAGCCAAAGGTGGGGGCAGCTCTACTTTTCATCTGCTGGGGAGCCCAGGTTGGCCCCCCAAATTTTAAAGATGCTGTTAAGCTGGGTAGGGCTGGCAGTGTTTTTTCTGGTGGTTGGGGTCCCTTCCCAGAACAGCCCGTAGATGGTTGTGTTGGGAAGAAAAAGGAAAACTCGGAGAGTGCGTACACACCAGAGAAAAAGAGGGAGAAGAAATGAGAAATTAATTGCAGCCAAGAAGGTGGCCTAGATCTAAGAATGTGGAGAAGGGTAGTAACCCTGTAGGCTGGGTAAAAGCAAAGTTATTCCTTCTGGCTAATTTTGGAGCAGAGGGAAGAAGAATAATGAAAAGTGATAAAAGGCAAAAGAGCGCGCTGGAAGACCCAGGATGAACTGAGACTAAAATGGCACTGACAAACCCACGTGTTTCTGAAGAACACAAAACTCCGATGTCCTTGTGGAGAAGCAGAGCCTGAGGTTAAAAATAAACCCACAATGACAACAGTGAGGACTCAAATAAGCCTAGTCCCTGGGTACTGCCAGGAAATAGGAAATAATGAGAATCTTGTCAAAATAACTGTTAATCTGAAAGGAGGAGGAAGGAGAGAGAGACTTGAAACACTTGATTAGAGCCTATCCACAAATCAGCAGGGCTGGATGATACACAGCCCAGGGTCCTGAGGGAGTTTGCTAATGAACTTACTGAACCACTGGTAATTATTTTTGAAACGTCAGGGAGAAATGGGGAAGAACGAAGACTTGAGTAAAGCAAGTGCCATCCTGAAAGACGGCACTGAAAGAGAACAAGCCACCTTGGAAGGAGCCGGAGCTGGCGGCGGAGAGGCACTGCCAGGCAGGGACTGCTCCCAGGGCTCAGGTCCCTTCGGCCACGAGGGAGCAGAGGTGCTAGGACCAGCCAACCCAGTGAATCAGACAAAAGCGCCAATTAAACCACAGTTTAGGACTTCAGATGCTTGTTGTGGGGTGGGAAGCCCCTCTCTGTACTGGAGCAAGTTACTACTGAAAAGCGAGAGAGGCTGGGAATTACAGCTTGCAACTACGGCTGGGGAGGCAGGTCCCATCCGACCCGAAACAGTCCCGATGTGGTGGAGGGGCTGCTGCAACCAGCCCGGTGAGAGTTTAGAAATGGGGGCCCTGGGGCAGCGGTTGCTGTTTGTGTTTCACTTGGTTTTCTTAATAATGAAGCTGAAGGAAATGGAAGCTTATTCGAATTGGGATATGCTTTGGGATGTGCCAAATGGAAGAGGGTCCGGTGCCAGAGATGGACTATGGTACAGAGTAGCTTTGCTGCCTTCGTTCTCTAATAAAATGCTGATCCGGTCATTAAAAAAGTGCCCCTACACAAAACTTGACCAAAGAAAAAAAAAAAGCAAGTGGATTAATTTAGCAATTTCATTGGGTGAAATACTTCACCCAACAAGTTTGTTTGAAGTTTGTTTGAAACCAAACAAACCCTCAAACAAAGAAGAAAAGATCCCCAAGAAAGATATGGCTGCAGAACTATCAATAATGAGTAATTAAAAGAAATGCTTGTATGGAGCCTGGGGCTTGTTCCATCAGTGCTGATGATCAAGGCCCACTGCTCATGAATGGCCTCAGCTAAGTTTTAATTTACTGGTGTAGCCTCACACCAGAATAGGAGAAGAGGACCTCAGCGGCTGTTACCACTGACAGCTGAGACCTGTCTAATACCTGCTGCTCATCACCCAAGGAGCCTGCTCTGCACAGAGTTTTTGCTCTGGAGGGGATGAAGGGGACGGACAGAGGGACGACCCTGTCTGAGACCTTTCCATCCATGCTGTAGGTGCAAAGGAGCCGAGCAAGCACCAGCCCTTCCCAGCTGGCTGCGTGCCACCCAGCTGAAGTCTGGCCTCACGTGCCCCGTATCCCCTAAGGCGTCTAAACGGGACACGGGTGCTTTACAAATTCCTCTGTAGTCTCTCAGCTGCCCACATTTCTTCTATTACTAGAAGAAATTATTACTATTCTTCTCTGGGGCATATTTAGTAGCAGCTACTCCAGGCCAGAGCTGGTGCCACCGCAGAGCAGCTGAGTAGCCAAGCACACCATCCTGAAACCATCTGGGTCTGTGTTTGTCCCCAGCCCATGCTCAGGACTAGGGGTTACAGCGGGTGGGCAGACATTGCTCTTCTTCTCCAGCACCTGGGCCACAGCACTGAAAGAAATTCCTGCCCAGCGACTGGGACGAGCAGCTCAATACCGTAGCCCCCCATCACGGAGCTAATGCGTTGGGGAAGAAACGGATGTTGAATTCCACCCTCTGTATGAATTTTAAATGGTGATTAGAGTAGCTTCTGCCCTCTCCGTGTGCAATTCCCATAGATAAGATTGGCAAAACACTCTGCTTGTGAGTCATGCCTGAGGTTAAGAAAAACAGCGAGCTGCTCCTGCTCTCGGGAAATAGGCAGCTCTAAGAACGCAGCTGGTACTTACGTGTGTAGGGGACTTTGGAGACATTCAGGCAACTCCGGGGCTAAAGCGGCAGGTAGGTACTTAAGATCAATTAGGAATTTAGTCCTAGATTGCTGCTACTTTGTGGTATTAGGACAATCACTGCTAATTTCAGGGACCTCAGGGAATAGGAAACTCAAGTGGGCTCTAAAACCTTGAGGAAAGTGATTGGAAAGGACTATGCTCATTGCTTGCTCTTCATTACTGTGACAATATTTCTTTTCTCTCCTCCCTTCCATCCTATCAGCTGTAAAAACATCGTTACCAAGGCTGACGTACAAAGAAAGAAATAATTACAATAATTAGGATGTGAGTTTATTGCTCGGTGCCATTAATCCTGAGAGATAAAATGATTACAGGCTGTCACAGCCTGGGAAGGAAGGAAGCTCCGTGCCGCAGAGCCGCGCTGCGGGGACACAAACCCTCTGGCAGCTTTGGGACCAGTGACCTCCCCAGCTAAGGAGCAGCCGGACCTCCATCTCTCCAGCAGCACGTGCGGGGTGAAGGTAATTGGCATTGAAATGGAGGTCACTTCATCCACTCCTTCCAGGAAAATACATTTCAGCATTTTGCAAATTATTACCCGGCAGGCTAACGACCCTGCTTTCTACTCCTCTGGTAATTACTGCCGTTTACTAGAGAGGCTTCACCTATAGCCCTGCAGCCAAGTCACCCGAGGAGCCAGGGCGTCCTTGATTGCCCAAACCACGAGCAGTGTCAGGAGATCACGGTGTGACTGTCCCCCGACACTGCCACTGCTAGTCAGGTCCATCTGCTGACCTCCACAAAGCTATGAATCACGCGCCCAAGAAAATCCCAACAAGGCTGAGGTGTGCCAAGGCCTGGTGATTATATGGAGATGAAAACTCTTCTGGTGGCTTCTACTCATTGCCCCTTGTCTTCTTCATGTGGCTCCTTGTGAAGAGAGAGCCTTTATCTTCTTGGTAGCCACCCTTTAAGTGCTATCATACTGTGTGAGCCTTCTCTTCTCCAGGGAGAAGGGAGCTAACTCCTTCAGCCTTTCCTTGTAGGACAGGCTCTCCAGCCCTTCGATCCTCTTTGTGGCCCTCCTTTGGACCCTCTCCAGTCCGTCTGTATCTTTTTTGAACTCTGGGGACCAAAACTGAACATAGTAATCCAGGTGCAGCCTTACAAGTGCTGAGCAGAGTGGGATGATCACATCTCTGTCTCTGCTAGTAATGCCCCTGCAGTTGCAGCCTAGGATCTGATTTCCCTTTGTTGCTGTGTTTGACTTTGGATTGCTTTTTAATGAACTTTTTAATCACATGTAAGCAAACCTATCTGTTCTCCAGCTCAGGTGTGGAGCACCAGGGCTCAGCACACACGAGCTGGTGGTGCTTTCAGCTGGGGTCCTGCTCAGGCAGCTCAGCCTTGCTTGGTGGCCACCTTCCCACCAAGAGTGGTATGGACCACCCCCCCCTCCCATTTTTGATTCAAAAGTGTCATATACTGAAAGTCTCCTGATGGGCAGT